AATTATAAAAATACAAGTGATAGTTTTTTATTTTCAATTAGTGATAAGAATAATATTTCTGGAGCAACTATCGGTCGCATTTCTCAAAATCAGAATAATGCTGTATACTGTCACAGCTCATATGGCCCAACATTTGGAGGAGGTCATGATTTGTATTGTCCCAATAGTAACAATAATTGGAGTTGTAGTACAAATAGTTACAGTAATATTAATCTTCCCTCTTCATTCACTGTATCTGATTGGGAAGTTTTTAAAGTAGTGAAGAAAACTTAGTTTATATATGACCAAGTAATAGATAAATTTCAATACTTTGTAATGATACATTTTTATCACTTCTCTTTTTTAAAGAGTAACTTCAGTCTTTGAAATAAATTCTTTAATGATATTTGTAATCATTTATTCCTAAAAGTAAAAAATTTAGCACATATTTTATGTACAGTTGACGAATCTTGGTTTTTTTAAACCATCGGGGCCGAATCTTGTTATAATTATTATAATGTTTCTTATATTGATTTCTGTCATGCGGAAATGCTAAAATTTACTTATCCTTTTGATCAAATGAATTGCCATTTGTTTACCTCATTCAAGAAATCATTTAAATTAATCGAATTTTTTAATGCTTTAATGCTACATTACGATGACTATTTCTCCTTCATCGATCGAAAAACCATCCGCTTACATAATATAGCATCCTAGATTAATTTATCAATCCACACCGCATCAATCCCGGTAAATATTTTATTGTTTGCATTCTTCACACAAAAACATTTTATTTGCTCAATTTTTGACGAGTGAGGAGTTAAGAGAGGGAAATAATTGTGCCAAATTTTCGCTCTCGGAGGAATTAAAAATTTTGATTTTGATAATAAATCTTCATGGACAATTGAGAAAGTCAATTAAAATAAGAGATTGTAATTGAGATTGTTTATTAATTGAAATGGGCAAACTTCAAAGCCAAAAAACATAATAGAATATGGAAGTAATTATAAAGATTTTATTAATAAGGTAAGTATTTTATTTCTACAATTTTTGAATGATAAGTATAAATTAATAATAGCAAAACACTATATCAGATATATACTCTTCCTATCGGGATTCCGATCCATGAATCGATAATTTAACATAGATCGTTGTGATAACGTTTGAGTTATATCAATCTTTAAAAACACAATATATAACGTAAATGATGAAATCTAATCTTTTTTTGTTCTGTCGAAGGAAGAAAACCAGAAAATGGATTTTAAGCTAATAAGGTGATGTATCTTGCATTTAATAGAATTATAACTTTTATAAATAGTATAGCTTCTTTCACAAATATGAATGATAAATTGAAATAATATTGTAACCGATCACTTTATTTTGTTATCTAATTCACTTATTAAATTACAATCGATTCATCTCTAACATATCTTATGGTAAATTAAGAATACATTTATTGTCAAAGTTGGTATCAAGCAACCCAAAAATCCTGAATTCTGCATTTGTAAATATCTATTTTCTTGATTCTACTAGAATTTATTATTGAGATTTTTTTCCTGTTTTTCATTATTTATTGCTACTGTAATTGGGTTATTTTTTTGATGATTATACATATAATTCGCGAAGTTTTGAATTCTGTTTGTATTTTTTTTTATTAGTTGAATTTAAATATTCCGGTATAATCGAGTAATAAACGAATTTTATAAAAAACGTACAGGAAACTATAAAAACGCGAAAAATTTTGACATGATATTAGTAATAATGAATTTTATATACTCCCAGTTAAATTTGATGAAAGATTAAAAATCAAACATTTTGTTGTAAAAACTGTATTTGAAGAAAATTTTTCAGCTCCTATTAAAGATTTATTAATTAATGGTTGTCGAGTTCTAGATGTTGAGTGGGTTTTCTCCCTCTTGCAACTCTCTTGTCTCGTCTTTCTTGTATATCTTTTTATCTTGTCTCTTACAGTTGCGGTACGGGAAATATCTTCGAATTATATTCAATCTTCATTTGTTGGTCTAGACATTTTTAATACGTTTTTTCATCAGAAATAAAACCATTATCTTTTACTGAATATGAATTGGAGTAAAGTTATTTATTTTATGTATATACTGTATATGTATTTTATTTTTACTTAAATCTTTATTATTAATTTTTTTTATTACATTTTTTTAATCTTATTTATATATATTAAAGACAACGAGTAATAACTGAATTATTTACTAAAATATATTGAACTTGAATCTTTATATATTTAGTATTTTAATACCATGAAGATGAGTTGAATTAAAAGAAATTCGAAGTTTAATATATAACGCAGGTCTTTCAGAAAAGCTGTCTCTAGGAGTAAACTTCTTGGAAAACTAGAAATGAGAATTTTAACGTATTCACAGGTAATTATTTATTTTCATTTAATAATTATTTTTAATTTTTAATTAATTATCTTTATTATTTCAATTTAGAAAAAATTCCAAACATGACGAATATTAATGATGTCAAACCAATACTGCTGAGTAGTTGGGGAGGTAAAATTGGGGAAAATTTTGCAGAATCTTAACTGCGTTACTTTATTCGCTGAACATAATGCTAAAGCGAATAATTATCCATTGGAAGAGATTTATGAATCAATTCATAATATTCCACTGGAAATTTCAGAATATAAATCTTCTATTGATTATATTCGAACTTTTTGGCAAAAGAAATACTATTTTTATTTTATATACAGTATAGTATTTTGTTGTTTTTAAGGGATTTGATATTTCTTTTGTATTTTATATATTCATTTATATAAGCTATATTTGATTTTCTCTATTTTCAAAATTTTGCAATTTTCACAATGAAATTTTATTAATGTACTGTATTTTCATAATAGTGCAATAAATTGTGTAGGTGCATTAGAGATTATTCATTAAGTAATTCGAAATTAGTAAAATGTAATAATTTATGCGAATATATATATATCTGATTTCTGTAAAAATATAACTCAGTAAACTCGATTAAACTACAATAAAGAATAAGAAAAAAATAATCCCATGAAAGCATTAAAAAAATAGGAAAAAAATAGAAATGGATATTTCAGATGTTTTAGATGAAATCGATACAAAAATATTTCAGCTTATGACAGAATACATTAACAAATAAAGATTATGTTTTATACAATTATATTTCATGTACAGTATGTAATATTATTATAAATTAAACTAATTCAAATATGACGAAATATTCTTACATACTTTACACATAATCACATAGTTTAAAAATGTGTCAAATTTAATTACTCGGATCTTTAACAAATTTCGGGATTTTTTTCGAGCACTTTAAAAAGGGGGTATCGTAAACGAGTAATAGAAATTAAAGTAAGGCAATATATTTTATACCATGTAAAATATTTGCATGGGGTAATATGCCGAAGATTACGGTAATTTCATAATAAAAAAAAACTTTTTTAATTTACGTGATGCAAACGAGCTAGCCTTTTTCTTAAACAAAAACCAATACCTGTGGGCTCTATCAGTACGCCCAATTTTGAGACTAAACTTTATTACTGCAAAGGAGTATGAAATATCGCATACGAGGAATACAAGGAATACAAATAATAAAGGCCAATATTACTAAGCCATCAGTTTAAGGATTTATCTATAGTCAATAATATTACTAAGCCATCAGTTTAAGATTTATTAAACCGTCAATTCTTCTCACGAGAAGTCTTTGAAAAAATGGAGTCAACATTTTTTTCAGATATGGCCGATGATTTTAAACAACTTTTTGAAACTATGGAAGGTTATGATATTATAATTTACGCTGGCGAGGATTCTCAAGAAATTCATGCTCATTCTTTGGTGTTACGTGCTCGCTCACCTTATTTTCGTGGGGCTCTTTCAAGTGAATGGGTGAAGAGGGAAAAAGGATACTTTCTTTTTAAAAAACTAAATATTTCAGCTTCAGTATTGAAAGTAATTCTAAAGTATGTTAATTTCACAAGTTTCTTTAAATAATTCACTCTAATACTTCGAATACTAATCAATTTTTCACATTTGTTTTATTTGAAAGGTGGGTTTATTGTGGGATTGTGGATCTTCGGAAATATGATGGACCTGAAATTCTTAAAATTCTAATTGCCTCTGACGAACTCGGACTTCAAAAACTTATTGATTTTATTCAGAAATTTTTGATCGATAATAGAGATGATTTTTTGCGTCAAGATCCTGTTGGGATGCTTTACATTATTACTCGTCATTTAGGCTTCGGAAGTCTTAAAAAGTTTTGTTTAGAAACAATCTGTTCTGATCCAGATATTTTGTTTAAATCAAATAAATACTTAACTTTAAAAGAAGATGTTTTGATTTTAATTCTCAAATATGATGATCTTGAGATGGATGAAATTGAACTATGGGATTGCTTGATTAAATGGGGCATTGAGCAAAAACCAAAACTCAGTTCTAATGTCAAAAAATTCACCAATAAAGATTTTAAAACTTTGGAGGAAAGATTGCGCAACTGCATTCCTTTAATTCGATTTCATGAAATATCTATGAATGATTATTATCTTAAAGTACGACCATTTAAAAAAATTATTTCTGAAGAACTTGAAGATGATATCTTACGTTGTTATATGGTTCCCGATGCTAAACCTACTCTTAATATGTTTCCATCTAGAAAAATAGACCTTGATACGTTATTGATTAATAAAAAAGTTACTTTATTGTTTGCTAGTTGGATTGATAAACAACAAAATACATATTATTTGGATATTGAAAAAAAGATGCCTTATAAGTTTGAACTTCTTTTCAGATGCAGCCGAGATGGAAATAATTCTAACACTTTCCATCAAAAATGTGATAACCGAGGAGCCACTATTATGATAGCCAAAATTCAAAATTCTAATCGATTGGTGGGTGGTTATAATCCATTGGATTGGTATTCTTCAAATAATTATAAAAATACAAGTGATAGTTTTTTATTTTCAATTAGTGATAAGAATAATATTTCTGGAGCAACTATCGGTCGTATTTCTCCAAATTATTATAATTATGCTGTATACTGTCACAGCTCATATGGCCCAACATTTGGAGCAGGTAATGATTTGTATTGTCCCAATGGTACCAATAATTGGAATTGTAATCCAAATAGTTACAATAATATTAGTCTTCCGTCTTCATTCACTGTATCTGATTGGGAGGTTTTTAAAGTAGTGAAGAAAGCTTAATTTATATCTGACCAAGTAATAGATAAATTTCAATACTTTGTAATGATACGATTTTATCGAATTTTTCTTTTTTAAAGAGTAACTTCAGTCTTTAAAATAAATTCTTTAATGATATTTGTAATCATTTATTCCTAAACGTAAAGATTTAGCACTATTTTTTTGCAGTTAACGAAGTCTTCAATTCTAATTCATTACATATTGATCTCATCTTTTTTTTTATTCCAAAAAATCGAATTGAAAAACTAAATTGCTGTAACGATAATTAAAAAATCAACATCATTTTGATCTCAAGTGAATTGTCATTTTAAAAATTATTAAAAATATTTTCTCATTCAAGAAATCTCATTTAATTGTAAATTTTTTTAATGCTATTTTACTTTCATCGAAAAACTCATTATTCAATATTTCCAATTAGCATAATATATAACTCCATACCAAAACCACCTTTTGTTATCTCTTTAATATATCCATTCTATTACTTTTATTACTTTTTTATTTGTATTTAATTGAGTTAATTTATCAATTTTTCATTTCACTTGTCCAACACATTTCAAAAATGCCTACACCACACCAATCCAGTAAATATTTTATTGTTCGCATTTTTCACACAAAAACATTTTATTTGCTGAAATAATTGTGCCGAATTTTCATGAACAATTGGAAACAATGAAAGAAAGTTAATTAAACGTAAGAGATGATAATTGAGATTGTTTATTAATTGAAATGGATTTGACAAACTTCAAAGCTAGAAAACATATGACAGAATGTGGAAGTAATTATAAAGATTTATCAATAATATCAATAATGTAAATATTTTTATATGTATTTCTAGAATTTTTGAATGATAAGTACAAATTAATGTGGGTAGACACTATGTCAGATATATACGCATTACATGTAATAGTGATGGTGTGTAGCGGATCCATATCCATCTTGCTACCGAGATCTATGAATCAATAATTTAACATAGATTGTTGCGAAGAGTGATAACGTTTGAGGTATATCAATCTTTAATACATATGTAATACATACATGACAAATTATGAAATCTAATCTTTTTTTTTTGTTCTGTCGCGAAGGAAGAAAACAAGAAAATGTAATGAAGTTTAATACGATTGATGTATCTTGTATTTAAATAGTAATTATATCTTTTAAATAGTGTATTTTTTTTTCACAAAAATGAAGACATCGATAAATTGAAATAAAATAACCGATCACTTTATTTTCTAATCTAATTCATTTATTCGATTCATCTCATATATGTTCAATTAAGGATAAATTTATTGTCAAAGTTAGTATCAAGCAACCCAAAATCCTGAATTCTGCACCTAGCTATATTTTCCTTTTTTTAAAAAAAAATTAAAAAAAAATATGATACGATATATACTTAATAGTATTTTATTATCAGTTATTTATTATTATAATAATAATAATTATCCGGATTAATTTCAAGAGTTGTCAATATAAAAATACCTGTTGCACATTATAATACTTTTTTAATATATTAAAAATTCTTTTTAACAAATTTGTTGTCAAATAAAAAACGCGAACAGTGATAAATAAAAAATAGTCGTCAAAGTATCTATAAAACATCAGAGAAATATACCTAATAAGTATTATTAATTATAAAGTATACATATTCTTCACCCAGGGTGAGTAAAATTGCTTTCATGTGATTATCAAATGATAGGTTTTTCTAAATAATATTAGATGCTATGTGACAATTATTGGGGATTATGGGGGGTTTTCTCATCTAACTATTCGTTCCCTTATTGGTTGACGCTAAAGGATATCATCAATGGCAACATACAATGGACAAGTTATTTATAGCTTTGTCAATATAATTTATACTCCAAAAAAAGGAAATTGTACTACGTTCAACAAAAAATTCGAAATATAATAAATACGGTTCATTGAATTTCCCACTCTTTATAAGCTTAATAAATTTCCTTTATATAAAAGAAAAAATGCCCAAAGTAACGAAAAGTAATAATTATGGTTTTATTGAAAACCCAATGAGAAAGGTTTCAAACCCACCACCAAAGCTTACGTTGCCCTTCCCTCCAGAGATTAGTCCAGAAGAATTAATTGTTAATTCACGAAAATTGCCTTCGAAACCCCCTAATGCTTTTTTTATATACCGCAAAGTATATGCAAAAGCATTGATAACTAAAAATATGAGATTTAAGATGACTGATGTAAGCCCTTGGGTTTCTAGTTCATGGAAATTGGAACCCGAAGAAGTAAAAACCAAATATAAGGAGATTGCCCGAAATGTCAGGCAAATTTATAAAAAAAACAAAGAAAACTTTCTCTGCCCCGTCTTCAAATTATGATTACAAAGAAACACGAACACAAACAAACTCATCGTCTTCCTCAGAACAAACCGAAGCACCTATTGAAAAATTATTAACCTGGAGGATATCATAATATTATAATATTATCGTGAGATCTTAAATAATCGATATTTATTAACGGTGAACATGGCATTTCCTTTTTCACAAAAAAAAAAAAATTCACTTTATCGGTTAGTGATATTGCCATTTTGATCTTTATTTAGGTAAAATATTTGGGTTGTTTAAATATGCTTACACGATTGGATTAGTTTATAAAATATGCTTACACGATTGGATTAGTTTATAAAAATTGATTAATAATAGATATTATTTTAATAATTAAAAAAATTTTTTTTTAATAAAAAAAAAATATTCTCACAATTTAAAAAAATGTTCTCAACGAAAAAAGAAATATTTATGAAAGTAATAATTAAAAAAAAATTTGATTATTATAAATGATTTGTATAATAAAATGTGGGAAAAAAAATATTTTAGATGATAACGATTTATCTAATATATTTTTTATATGGATGCAAGGCGATCAGTATCCTGGATAAATTACTAACCTCTGTCTTTGAAGAGAATTAGTTATCTTGTGAGAATCTACACTATTGAGTTTGAGGCTGCGCTCAATAAAAAAAACCAAATATATGTGGACTCTGTCAGTATTTCCGGTACGCCCAATGTTAAATGTTGAGATTCTAACTATTTTCGCCAATTATCAAATATTTTATGACTAAATTTTTGTTACTGCAACAGAGTGTGAAATGTCGTATACAAGAAATACTGTACAAATGATGAAACGATGATGCGGGATTAACATTAAATAAGCCATCAGTTTAAGATTTATAAACCCGTGTGATTTATCTATAATCAATTCTTCTCACGAAAGGTCTTTCAAAAAGAAAAATGGAAACAACATTTTTCTCAGATATGGCCGAAGATTTTAAACAACTTTTTGAAACTATGGAAGGTTATGATATTAAAATTTACGCTGGCGAGGATTCTCAAGAAATTCATGCTCATTATTTGGTGTTACGTGCTCGTTCACCTTATTTTCGTGGGGCTCTTTCAAGTGAATGGGTGAAGAAGGAAAAAGGATACTTTCTTTTTAAAAAACAAAATATTTCAGCTCAAGTATTTAAAATAATTCTAAAGTATGTTAATTTCAAGTTTCTTTAAAATAATTCTAAAGTATGTTAATTTCACAAGTTTCTTTAAAATATTTGCACTAAAATTTTCAATACTAATCAA